GGCATCAATGAATCGATGGTGAGACGGCAGCATTTATTTAATTAAAAATTTAAAAAATCTTTCTGTGTAAATATCTCATGTTACAACATGGACACCTGTGGCTTATAGACAAGTGCGGCCTATATATGTACACATTTTTTTTTCTTTTTAAATTTAGTTGGTGCGGCTTATATTCAGGTGCGCTCAATAGTCCGGAAGTTACGGTATGTATATATATATATATATATATATATATATACCGTCTGCACTGAGCCAACAAATAAAATGTTCCTGTAGATTGTGTCTCTCTGCTGCTGTCATTCACTGTATAGTTTTATTATTTATTGGTAATAATCAATGATTTATTTAAGTGATTTATTCTATATTATATCAGTATGTGTCCACTTTTTTGAGATTTTCTTTCCAGTAAAATCACTTTACAGGGGTAAGAAAGTGTCTTTATTACATTATTTATTAATATTTCTGTCTTTTTCTTTGAATAATTGGATTTCTTTACTGATTTTTCCAATAATTCCAATTTCCAATTATAATTTCATTACTATATTGATTGTTTATTATGTTTATGGAAAACAATTTAATCTTTATAATTAAATCCATAATCATTTAGGGAAAATGTTTGGTGCTGAAGCATATCTTCAGTAATTAAGATGAATGATAAGCACTGTGATTAATGTGACAGTGTTAATAATTAATCGTGATGTTCCTCGGGGTTCTATTCTGGAGCCGTTTTAATTTCTAGTGCTCAATACGTAGTTTGTTTTGTTTTGGGTAATATTACTTACTGCTGTCTGTCTACTGGGATTTCCTCTTTAAAATCAATATGTGCACAATATCGTACACATTGAAACAGTAAAGCTTTATTTCTGTTTGTCTGTAAGTGCCTATTGTTATATTCTGTTAACCTGTTGTTTAACCTGAATGTTGTGGCCTTTATTTCTGACGTTCAGTTTTAAGTTACTACGGATAATGTTAAGTTATTTTTCTGTTGCAGAACTCCGGCTGAAGAAACTACTAGAAGAAAGAGAGAGTTTACACGATCAGGTGAGCTGAACACAAATGTTTGCTTTTGTTCCACAGACTCAGAATAATCTCTCACATGAATGTTTATTATAAGTGATTATTTTTATGTGAGCAGGTGAGGCTGTTAAAGTCTCAGCTGGATCAGAGACAGAAGAACGGGACCGACGGGGTCCAGAATCCAGAGGGGGGCAGTCTGGAGAACGGGATGGACGCTCATCTTCTGGACCTACAGAGTGAGAACTGTTGTTCTTCATAATATATATTTTTGTCATCTTTTTCTTCTTTGTTTTCTTCATCTTTGTCTTTGTTGTCATTAATTGGACAAATTTAACGTCAAATTTACAGATGTTTACCCTCAGAACTGCTTCCGTATATGAACAACTCTAATTTTAATAATATTTGTTGTATTTTCTTCAGGAGACGCCAACAGACAAATGAGTGAGCTCAAGTTCAAACTGGTGAAATCTGAACAGGAAGTCACCACCCTGGAACAAAATGTAAGCGTCCACATGGCCATACTGAGCTTCATAAAGAAAAACAACAATCCACACCTTGATCTATAAGTAGAAAACAGTATCATAAACGTATGTAGACATTTTTATTTCATTCAATCACAGATGAAATCTTATTTGTTTTATTTGTATCTCTTATTATTATCTTACTGAACATGGTACTCACAGGTCAAACTGACCCTTATCAGTTTGACCTGTGAGTACCATTCAGTATAGTTCAGTATATACAGACGCTTTTGTTTTATTGTTTTCATAGCAAGATCTTATTATTGTATCTATTTCTGTTGGTGATGTCTGAGAGTTTCAGATTTGTAGAGAAAATGAGATGAAGCTCTTTTGAACTCTCACAACTTTTTTTTATATGATCCTCCTGAAGAACAGCTCAAATACATTTTCAGTCATTTTTATTATAAGCATTATGATAATAGTTTAGAGAAATTATAACACATACTCCAATCAAACGTCAAAGCTTTTGGGAATACAGACAGTACGTGTAGCTGTCCTCCGTCTTTCATACTCAGGTGATCCGACTGGAAGGTCAGGTAACTCGATACAAGTCGGCATCAGAAAATGCTGAGAAGGTTGAAGACGAGCTGAAAGTGGAGAAGAGAAAACTCCAGAGAGAGGTGAGACCGTAAGCGTCTGTGGAGCTGATGTTTGATTGTTTTTATCTCTCTGTGGTCACTCATTATGAATTATTGTTTTATTATAATGGAGTGTTTTCTCTTAGGGGACATGTGGGACTTATATCCACTAAAAATAATTCTAATAGTTTCTCAGAGAACATAAAAGTTACTCATGGAAACAAAATAGAAAAATTTTAGTTTTTTGTCATTTTATTAACTGTTGGTTATTGTCCGTCCCTTTTGGTCTTTGTGGATGTTAAAGTACACTTTCCGTCTCCCTGCAGCTCCGCTCGGCTCTGGACCGGATCGACGAGCTGGAGGCCAGTAACAGCCACCTGTCCAAACGCCTGGAGAAAATGAAGGCCAACCGGAATGCCCTGCTGGCCCAGCAGTGACATTCCACATCCTTCAGTGAACTGTTTGTGTTTTCATCATGACAATCAGCGCTTGTTTTTACTCTGCATGCAGCACCGGACGGGTGGTGTTAAATGATCTGAAAACAAACTAAAAGCATGGCATCTGAAGAGACAGAGAGCGATGTGTGAAAGATCCATCAATCAATCAATCAGTCGATCGATCAATCATGCACATGGTTACACACCTGTAGCTCCATGATCCCGGTGCCGTGAACACAGCCAACGTCTGCACGGGTGGAGTTTATCACCCATCCTTCTGCCCTTTACTGAATTTGAAAACTTCTTCTCAACACATTTTCTGAAAATCTTTTGGTTTTGAGAAAAATCTGCATTCACATCTCCTCAGTGTGTTGATTTCTATAGTTTTTGTGTTCAAACCTTTGAATTTCCCTCCAGGACTTTGCTGCTTTTCAAAAAAACCTGTGAAAATATATAAAATATATACAATAAATACAATACATTGAAATAATTAATTTAAAATAAAACTCAACTTGTTCCAGTGAAAATAAAATGGAACGTTTCCGTTGTCATAACAAGAAACAGTGAGGTGAGTTTGGTGACGTACGACTCAGCGATGCACAGGAAATTAGTGATTGGTTGAATTTGTGTTAATTATTGAGGAACTGGTTAATTATTAGTTTGTTCCCATGAACAGCAGCAAAACCTGAAAGATATGAAACCACCCATTTTCTAACTGCTCCGTTATCAATAACAAGATATTGGTCTCAGGGTCGGGATGAAATATATCAATATAACAATATACAATGCGTCTGTGACTCTGTATAGTATATCTTCCTGGTGTGGTAAACAACACCCGTCTGGCCCTCCAGCTGTGTTAAAACAAACACTACATCTGCCTCATCAACATTGAGCTGCTCCATCTGCTAACGTGTGGCACCACCTCTCCCCCGCCACTCGGGGGCGCCGTTCCCTCAAAGATCCACTACAGCAGAGAGGTCGGATCGGATCAAAGGGGGTCGGACTGGATCAAAGGGGGTCGGACTTGATCAAAGGGGGTCGGATCGGATCAAAGGGGGTCAGATCGGATCAAAGGGGGTCGGACTGGCAGCAGTTTTTAACTTTCTTTTGGTTCTCGTGGTTTTATTTTATGTTTCCTGTGTAAGGCACTTTCGGTGTTGGGTTCGGTGTTGGGTTCGGTGTGGGGCTGGAGGTTGAGGCACTGACTGTAGATCAGTTCATTAGACCAGAACAAACAGCCCCGCCTACCATGTTCCCATGAGGGTGTTCAGGTAACTGAAGGGGGCGTGGCCATGTGTGTCCATGTATGTACAGAAAAGGTAGAGACTCACCTGACTCATGTTATTTTCTTTCATGGCTCTCGGGATGTTCAATCACCAGCTTGTAAATGTCTGATCTTCATGTCTGTAAATTGAGTGAATGAATGAAGAGTTTGGTTCCAGAGCAACATATTGATCCCTGTGATTGATTATTATCAATTGATCAATTCGGACTCATGAAGGGGAAACAGTGAAGTGGACAGTTGGACGTCTTCCTGTCGCCAGTTAAACACTGCTGATTCTTTTCTTGTTGCTGTAAAAGTTCTGGAGTCAAACTCTTCGTGTATTTATCAGTAATGTATCGCAATAACACCGTCGTTCATGAATGTAAGAATGTGAGCACTGACAACAATGGCGGCAATATCGACAACTTCTTCATCTTCAGGTGGCGGGAACTGGACCAATGTCGGCGTGGTAACGGGACATCGGCGTGGTGGCGGTGATGAAGATGTCTTCGGCTGAGTTGTTTGAGGTGAACATTGCTTGGTGGATGACTTTAATGTATCTGTCCTATTGATTAGGATGTGGGATCAATATATATCAACATGTAGCGGCTCAGTGGGGTTTTATTGATCAGTGTGACGACTGTAATAAATTCATCAATATCTCAGTTTGACTGTCTGTCTGTGTGAATATTGATCACAATATCTGATCAGCACGTCCTTTAAAAATCAACAGTAGAATCAACACAACTCAGGGTCTGTTCAGGGTCTGTTCAGGGTCTCATCCAGGTCTGTTCAGGGTCTGTTCAGGGTCTAATGCAGGTCTGATCAGGGTCTGTAGAGGGTCTGTTCAGGGTCTTTTCAGGGTCTCATCCAGGTCTGTTCAGGGTCTAATGCAGGTGTGATCAGGGTCTGTTCTGGGTATAATGCAGGTCTGATCCAGGTCTGTTCAGGGTCGAATCAGGGTCTGATCCAGGTCTGTAGAGGGTCTGTTCAGGGTGTAATGCATGTCTGATCTGGGTCTGTTCAGGTCTGTACAGGGTCTGTTCTGGGTCTGTTCTGGGTCTAATGCAGGTCTGTTCAGGGTCTGTTCAGGGTCTAATGCAGGTCTGTTCAGGGTCTGTAGAGGGTCTGATCAGGGTCTTTTCAGGTTCTGTTCAGGGTCCCTGTGTATGCTCGTCAGGTCTGGGTCTGTTTCCCAGGAGTCTGTCTGGGACCAGGTCCAGTTAACCCCTCACTGGGTCTCTGAGGCTAAAGAGCTTCTGTCCTGAGCCTCATATTTTCGGTGTGACCTGAATGCAGCACTGTTGCTGTGGTTGTCATGGTAACAGTCACTGCGGGGAGAGACTGGGACAAAGGGCAGCCAATCAGAGCACAGTAGACCCCCCAGCACAGAATAAAAGGAAGTCCACCAGTACGGCAGTAAACTGGTCATACTGGGACGCTCCCGGCTCACTGTGGAATATGAAGCAGAGGATTCTGGGAGGAAACAGAAGGAACGTCTGATGAAGACCAACAGCCTTGTCCTCACACCTGAGACAGGTAACGGCCATCTTTATCTTTATTATCTTTATTATTTAAAAAAGAACAACTCATTTGTTTAATTATAATTTTTTCATATTTTATCTGATTATTTTCTATATTTTTATGATTTATCTAATTTTATTTTAGATTCTTTTATATTTTTATCTTTTTACTGGGACTCACTGTCACTCGGTTTAATGAGCTACTGTGAGAGGATAATCGATCAGTTTCTGATCAGTTATAATGACGTATCAATAATAAGAATTATTACAGGTTGAACTTGTTGTTGTTGTTATTGTTGTTGCCATAGTAACCTGACTGATGAACTCTGACTGTTAATGAAGTGAAGCTCGTTACTATTCGGGGGGTGGACACAATAACAGGAACAGCAGATTGATTACTAATGACTTCATCTCCTGTCTGTGACAATAAAAACAATAACAACAACAACAGCTGGTCATAAACAAAATAAAAACTGAGTTAAAGAATGAAAACAGTTCTCTGCAGAGAGCTGCAGTCTGTAGGTGGTAAATGTTTTCTAATTGTAATTAATCATATCAATAACTTCAGAATCAATCACAATCAGCTGAAATATTTCCACTTCCTGTTTAAACGGCCATTTTGTATTTTAAAATGGCAGAAATGGATTCAGCGTCCGCAATAACCCAAAACCTCCTTTATTGTCCCGATCAGCCAATCAGCTGCTGAGATATCGTTTATAAAGGTGATTATTAATGCTAATGATGCTAATGATGCTAACTGTCCAACACATGCAGCTTAGCATCATTCAGTGTAACAGCTGCAGACTTTAAATTATAAAACTTTATTACAACACTGGATCTTTATCTCATAAACACATTAACATACAAATATGTAATCAAAGAGTTTATTTATTGGCCACAGAGATCAATAAAGTGCTTCTGACTTACAGATGTACATTGAGAGGGTAATCAAAGGTATTG